CATCTCCCCTCCCTGGGTGCTGACTGCCCAGGGGTACATGCTGCCTCCAGACAGGTGTCCGTCTCTGTCCTCAGTGAGGCTGGGCCGTGGCGGCGCGGCAGCTCCACACAGCAAATCCTTGGCCAAAGTTCACTGAATCTGGATGCAGTTCTGGAGAACCTAATTCCCAGAGGTCCAGGGCAGAGCAGAGTGGACGGGAGGGTGGAGGGTGGAGGAGCAGCATGGACATGGCCCGCCTGTGTATTCCAGGGATGTGGGGATATGGGAAGGGGTGGCGGTGTCAGGAGCTTCTGGTGTTCCTCCCTCTTTTCAGGGAGCTGGCCAGCGCTGGGCTGCCACGCTGCAGGTGACCCGGGGCTGTACCTCTCAGGAGGTGAGCATCCTGGAGCACTTAGGGACAGAGCAGAAGGAGCAGGGATCCCGGGGCAGCTGGGAGCCTGACCTTGGGCAGGGCATCCCCGTCCCTGAGGAGGGAAAGTGAGTCATCCTCTCCACGCGCCCCTGCTGGGCGTCTCCCCACCTGCCCTGCCAGTGTGAGGAGGTGGAAGCCGGCCCTCGGGAGGAGCCTGGAGGTGTCTGTCCCAGGTGTTTCTGCAGCACAAGCACCACCCCTGGAACCCCAGCCAGTACCAGGCTCCCAAGACTGGAATGAGGCCGCCAAGAGGTTTCGAGATGTCACTATTGGCACTGTGTGGGAGCATGAAATCCTGAGTCTGGGAGACTCGCCTCACGCTGTGAGGGCAGAGACAGAAGCTCAGAGGTGGGGACATCTCCTGCAGCCCTTAGGAACAGGAGAGAGCGGAGCTCCAGTCATCAGGAGAGGGAAGGAGGAGCAACGTCACTGGGGCGGAGGCCTGGGCTCTAGTCCTTCCCGCAGCTGGCCCTGCTGGACCCTGGCTCTCACCTGTATGTCTGCACTCCAGGCCCGCCTTCCTGCTTCCTGGGGAGGCCCTGCCTGAGGCCCCACTGCTTACCAACCGGGGAGCGAGGCCACGCCTCCTCAGTCGCGTGTGCATCTCCAGGGCCCAGCCCCGCAGGACAAGGCCCTGAGCACCTCGGCGGGTGAGCCTGAGCCTGAGTCACGGCCAGGCAGGGGCTCTCTTCTCCTCTGTCCACCTTTCCTTCTGCCTTCATCGTCCTTCCGCCCCCGTCCCTCCACTGCTCACTGGCCAGACCTCAGCTGACTGCCCTGGCAACTTGCCCCGCAGAAGCTGTAGCTTCGAATCCCACCCCCGTTCCGTTAAGAGACTCAGCCAGGAGTGCAGCAGGGAAGGAGGATGCGGCGCAGACATCTCTGTTGGCTGAGTCAGGGCAGGGCATGAGTCTCCGCTCTTAGTAACGGTGTGGTGCACCGCCTTGTTGGAGATGCAGCTTCATGAACAAGACGGGGCTCATTAAACCGCGTAGTTACTGACACTACAGTGTGAATCCATGCATTCCACGAATATGAGATACCCGCTGTGTGCCAGCCACTTGGAAAACAGTACTGAACAAAACAGACAATAATCCCTGCTTTCCTGAACCCTGCATCCTTGCTAGAGGACAGGAAATAAACATGACAGGTAAACTGTGTAATTGGTTAGAAGGTGCTAAAAATATAAAATTTAAAAAAATAAAAAACCCACCAGTACCGTGGTAGGTGGGTTAGGAGTGCTAAGGTTAGCAAACAGTCCCGCCTGGCGGGGAAGCTGTTTGTGATTTTAAGTGCGGCAGTCAGGGTAGCCTCATGGAGAAGCCAGGGATTTGAACAAAGATGTACAACACAGTAGTAGGCTGGGGATTTAGCTCAGTGGTTCCCTGCCTGCCTTGCAAGTGCAAGGTCCTGAGTTTGATCCCGTACCTCCCCCGCAAAACAAAACGAAACACAGTGATAGCTTTGCAGCTGTCCGGGAGATGAGCATCCAAGTGGCAGGCATAGCTGATAGGCCTGAAATCAGAACATTGGCAACTTGAAAGCACAGCAAGAGGCCTGTGCTGGGAGAGGGCAGGGAGCAGCAGAGGCAGGCAGGGAATGGGCTGCAGGACACTGTAGGTTGCACAGATGCGTGGTAAGGGCTTTGGGCTTGACCCGCGATATGCGTGTGCATGTGTGCGTGCACATGTGTGTACCTGTGCGGGGTTCTGGATAGGGAGTAAGTGGCCTGTTGGTTTTTTACTTTGGCTGAAGACTCTGGAGAGGCTGTTGCGGTTCCCGGGCACACAGGCTCAGCCAGGGGGCAAAGCGGATTCTGTTTCCTTCGGCAGGAGGCTAACAGAAGTTGCTGGTAGTTGGTGTGGATGCAAGAAAAACAGGAGTGGGAGGTAGTGTCACCACCATTTCCGGGGCAGGAGCTCCTGAGCTCCATGGAATCGGGTGAGCACTTTGGAGCGGGGGAGACTGGGGCAGAGGGGCTTGGCCTGTGTCCCCTGCTCTCCTTAGCCCTGGTTGGACCCTAGGAGAGCCATGGGTGCTGGATTAGGGTGCTCCTTTCTGAACCCCTCCCCCCCGGGCTTGCGCTGGCTCCCGCACTTCTCAGGCCACTGCACTCTGACTTGGAAGCAGTCGGTACCCCTGTCCCACAGCACAGCTGACGTTTTCCTTCTGGGAAGCCAAACCAGCAGGGCCTGCCCTGGCTTGTGCGTCTGAGACAAGGAAGGCTTACTTAGCCGAGCTCTGGGTCTCGGTGAGGGAAGGGAGAGTTAAAGGGTCCCAGCCACTCCTGCTGAGGCTGCTGCTGCCTGGCTGGGATTGCAACACCGTTCTGTTCTGCTGAGTTAATTATTATCGGGCTCTTTGTCACATCCTCTGCTGGTTTTCCCTTTGCATTCAGGGAGTGGACGGAGGGTGGGAGGTCTCAGAAGGCAGGAGTGTCAGAGGACGCTTTTCCGTGGAGACCTAGGGATCTCTGAGTTCTACAGGGGCGGGCAAAGTGAGGCTGTTTGCATGATCTCTGATTGCTGAGCTGAGCCAGATTTCATGGGCTGCTTACTGCGAAAAGGCAGCATTTATCACAGTATTGGTTATGCATCTAAAGGCAGTGCTGGAACAGGGAGAGGGTCCCCTTTGCACTGCAGCTTGGAGGCAGTCGGGTTCCAGTGTGATGCCAGTGTGGGCGCCGTGGGGCCCCGACAGGGACCAGGTAGCCTCTGGGAGCCCTCGGAGCCAGCCTTGGAGAAGAGTTTTCTTTGAGAAGGCCAGTAAACCTGGACCTGCTTCTGCCTGTGCAGCGGTTCTAAGTCCAGGGCCAGGAGCTACAAAGGGAGCTGTGTTTTCGGGTGTGGCAGGGCCTGCGGGGCTGCTGTGATTATTAGTCCAACAGTGCCACAGCCTTCCCTCCACCTTTGCGGTCAGGCAGGTCTGTTTTCCAACCCTCCAGGCGGGCATTCCTGCCCGCAGGGTGGGGCTGGGAGCCCCGCTTGACTGCAGCTGGGCAGTGACTCACAGGCAGTTACCTGTCCTTGGGCTGCCTGCCAGCCCTGTGAGGTGAGGTCCTCTTCGTTCCTGTCAAACTTCTCTTGGGTGAGCTTTGACCACCTTCCTGATCATGTAAGAATCCTCCAAATTCCCCAAGAATCCAGGGTCACCCATGGTTTTCTCCAGCAGAGGAGTCTTGTGTTTTCCAGACTGCTGGACACCTGAGTCCTCTCAGGCCAGTAGCGTGTGTGGGGCTTTAACACTGGGTTCGAACTCTGGTCTTGGTGCCTCTGCTTGATCTGTCCGCCCTGTCCAGGACACAGAGGGAAGCTGGCCCCTCCCGGCCTTGGGACAGTGCCAAGTGCAGTGCCTGGGGGCAATGCAGGGCCTTCTTCCCACCACACACATCTGCCTGGTGCTTTCTGTTTGCAGCGGCCCCTCCAGCCCAGGCAGGCGGACCCTGGAGCTCGCCCAGTCGCGTCTTGGGGTGGGGTGCGTGACGCCGGATGGGCGTGACGCCCGCTGCTGGATTCCTGGGACCGCCTGCCCGGGGCTACGCCCAGCCAGGAGTCTCCAGAGGTGAGGCTGCTGTTTAAAGCCTCGGTGCCAAGAGGAGACCCCACATCTCAAGGAAACCCTCC